TAGGGCAGCTTTGGCAGTTCATCAGCTTGAGCCTCTGTGGCCCAGTAGTTAGAGTGCAGTACTTCAGGCTACTTCTGCTGCCTGCTGGTTGCCTGCAATTTGGCAGTTCAAATCGCACCAGGCTCAAGGTTGACTCAGCCTTCCATCCTTCCAAGGTGGGTAAAATAAGGATCCAAATTGTTGGGGGGAAATATGCTGACCCTGTAAACCACTTAGAGAGGGGTGTAAAGCGCTGTAAAGTGGTATATAAGTCTAAGTACTAATACTATTGCTATTTTCAGGAAAAGAAATTAATTATGTTAAATCTCTGCATAACTCATAAAACTTAAAATTCTGCTCATAAATGCAGGGTGAGGGAGAGGATGAAAATCCCCGCTAAAGTTTCTTTATGATGTCATAATATCCCTATCACTGATTGCAGCATCTGAAGACCAAAATATAGCAATAAAAACAGAACCTCCAATTCAGGTGACAATTTAACTTCAGTTTGTATTACCTCTTTTTTACTTTCCTTTTTGGGATCATAATCACTATCATTTCCATCCATAGGGTGAGGTTCTTCAACATCATCATCACTGAAGATTGAAAATGATTAGTCAATATTTACTTTCACAGCTCAATTTCTGCCCTAAGTGCTCAAATAGACTGTGCTTATTGTATTATATGTTAAAATGTCATTTTAATTTTAAATAGTACTAATTCAGTTATTTTTAAATACACAGCTACAAATTATTAAATTTTGTCATTTATTATATGAATATGTCTTTATTATATGAATATTAGTTTTAAAATAATTTTAAGCAATATATCCATACTACGTAAATCAAAGCATGTCCTGTTTATTTAAAGCATCTCAGTCCCATGTGCAAGACTATTAAAAACCCCTACTTATTTTACAAGAAATCTGCAATTAAAGATACCTTCTCTGAAGATATAAAACATAATAGAGACTTCACCCAATCATCTAATAATTTTCTTAAGAAAATACCTGCTCTGGAATGGCTAAAAATGATGGAAATACTTGTCATGTGCCCTGCTGCAATCAGAAATATTGAGATGAGTAGGAAAAAGCATTCACCTTTGCCTTGTGAAAACCAGCAAAAAGGTTGAGGGGAAAATCAGTATCTGTACTACTAGTATTCCCTAACCTAAGGATATGTTATCTGTTCAGAAATCTGAATCAGTTACAAATGAAGTCTGGTGTGAAACAGAAATGTTGACTACCATTCACTATAGTCACAACTGATTGCTGTGGTCTTGTATGCATTGGAAAGAAAATGTGAATTGTCTTTATGTGTGAGGTTTTTAAAATTATATTGCTTTATCAATGATCAAAACAAATTCACGTAATTATTGAAACAGGCTCTGTAAAAAAATCTTAAACAACTCCTGTCTACCTTGTAAGATATCTAGAAATGTCTAAATATTTTACAAAGTCAGCTTGTCATGGTTTCCCTTAAGAAGTGTCTGTTCAGCTATTTCTAACAATAGAAAAACTATATATGTGAAATCACCAGGTCAAAAATGCTGTATATGGCATGTCATTTTATTGTTATTGGTTATAATAATACAAAAATATCTAAATGGTTATAATTTAATTCAACTTCTATGCTCTGATATTAGGAAGCAGTCTTTCCATCTGCTTAACAAAACAGGTAGAGAGAAATAGAACAGTTTTCCCCAACTAGATGTCCTCCAGAAATGTTGGGAACTTTGAAGTCCCAGAATTTCAATGTTTGCGGTGCTGGGACTTACACTTTCAACGAACTTGAAAGCACCAAAATTGGCAAAACTGGCATAGAACCTATTCCCTTAAATTAAAAAATAGTCAAAGGTAAACAAAAACAAACAGAATGCCTACTCTCTCTAATAGGTTACTTGTTTAAAACACATATTTCATTGCTTACCTATCACCTTGATTATTTCTATTAGCTAGTTTTCTTGCTTGGCGGTCCATTAAACTTGTTCTAGAGCGTGTTTTCTTCCAGGAATAGTAATATTTTACAAGGCTTGCAATAGTCTTGTCCGGAAGCTGAAACAAGGTAAGAGTATGCAGACACTAGTTATAAATGCTATGGGAAAATTGGCACATAGTTTAGTGTGAAAAAAACCTTAAAACCTTAAATCATAAGGTGTAATTTTAAGATGTGTGGACTTCAAATGCCAGACTTTCCCAGTCACCATTCTGGCTGGAAAATGAAGTCTACACATCTTAAAGTTGCCAAGGTTGAGAAATACTGCCATAAAAGGTCCATCCTGTTTTGATGGAAAATAGACTATTTATGTGTATTATTTCTTAATCTTAGAAAACAGAATTTACCTTAATCATTAATGTTAAAATATCCATGACTGGGAGAGACATGGGAATAAGGTCAGCAAATGAATAGGCATAGCAACTAAGTCAGCCAATGGGAGCTTAAACAGATCTGAGTCTGTGCAGACTATTGAAACAAAAAACTTAAGCAGTCTGCTGCTCTGAGAAGTAGCAGTCTGTCTGGCCTTGTCTGCTGATATGAAACTAACTGCTTGTGTTTGCCTGTAATTCTCCTGCCTTGTGTTTACTTGGAAGAACCACCTGTTGGTATACTACATTTATTCATCTATTCTTATGTATAAATAGAAGTTAATGAATCCAGGTGTCAGTTATCTGTGTGTGCTTTCTGGATTTAATTTTTGCAACAAACTCTTGACAATTAATTCTGATGAAATAGCATTAGCCTTATAAATCTATTACTAATTACTAACAAGTATTTTCCCCTTTACTTCTAAAGTTTATTTTTTAAAGTTAAAGTCGGCTCAAGTTCTAGTTTCTGTTAAGGGATGGAACTTGAAAGACAGATTTATATTACTGTTAAATACATCTTCACAACTAAAAAAAGAAAATTTGGAATGAATACATGTAGATCTTATCTTTTATAAATTAAAAAGAATAAATAACAGGGGAGGGGGGGAAGCCGTTTATTTCCTTACCATTTGTTGAATTCTGTGAAAGCTTTTTCCATGGAAACTGAAAGCTTGTTCAAAAAGGACTTTATCTTCAACTGTCCACTCATCTGGAAAAGGAGTAAAATTCGGGAGATCTGCAAGGGATTTCTCAATGTTGTGCTTATGCCAGAACAACATGCCAAGTGCCTTTAAAAAAGAACCAAACAGGTATAAGTTTCATGGTGTGCCACATTGATCTTTTACTTTCTTATCTTAATGATGTGGAAGATCACATCCAGGTCTGTCAGAAGGCACATTTTACCCACCTAGCTGCACCTAATGTTTTTGATACTTTCTCCAATACAAACTATATATTCTGATGAGAAAAAAAGGAAAAAAAGGAAAGTTTCACATTGTACAGTATACTGTTGCAAACAACGTAACTGCCATTTAATCCCTTGCTTCTGCTTATATTCTACATTCTGCAGCCTGCACTGAACTACAATCAGGTTCAAAAAGTTTACTTTAAAAAAATGAATTTTGCCCTTTCCTACAGTACTCAAGTAATATTTACACTGAAATAACTATGCTTATTTAAATAAATAAAACTGTAATTTGGGACTAATATTCAGCTCCATCATCTCTGACAATGCTGGCTGGATCTAATGGGAGTTGACATTTTAAGTGTCCACAGGGGCACAGGCTTCATTCATTTTCTAAATAAGCTGACATTGAGGTAATTTGAAGATTCATATCTTCCCTTTCACATTTAAATCAAATCTGAAGTTTAACACTACATTCCACTCATTTTGGAAATTAGGTTAGCTGATATCAGAAGTGAGACTTTTACCAGTGGCCTTTTTATTATAGAGTTCTTCCCTGGGGATATTTGAATGTCCCTCTTTTCCCCTTTACTTCCTTTAGAAGGAACAGAAGATAGAACATTACTTTTTTCTGTTTTCACAAACAATACACACTATTTTATGATTATATAATTTTACAAATCAAAGCCCTGCAAAGAAAAAGACTAAATTGTCTTGTACTAATTAATCTTTTAAAACTCTTACCTGTTCCACATTGTATCCATGTTTTTCCTTTGCTATAGCAATGTATTCATCCACTGTGTAACAGAAGGATGCTAGAATTATTTTCTAATATATTTACAGAAAAAAACAACATTTTAGGATCATGGATCCTGATTACATTCACCCATATTATTCCATTCTGGTTTATTTAAATACTGAAATATATATTTGTGCTCATGTTATTTTTTATTTGTTTATCTTTATATCCTGCTTCAATTATATGCATTTATTAAAATGCATATACTGAAAAGATTCTATAGGAATGGAAAAAAAGTGATCAAAACTGCAATCCTACGTTGATTCAAGTGCAGTAAAAAATCCAACAATAAGCACAAAAAGATCCATCTTGAAGTAATTCTATGGAAGGTCTAAAATCCAATTCATTACTACCCCAGAGTTTCCAAACACCTTTTCATCAGTTGTACAGGTACTTTTGAGTTTTCTTCTTTCTAGCTTCTTTTCTGCTTCAATGAAATAATATTACATTCAAATATGAGTGCAATACAAGGAGATTCAATGCAGTGTTTCCTTTTTTGCACTGTTGATCTTTATTGAAGAACAGCTTAGATCTCTGTATTGTTAAATAAGGTAGAAAGGAAAGAGAAGACTCAGATGGAGAGCTAAAAATATAAAACGAATGTGGAGAGATAAATGTGACACACTCAGAAAGTCTGATAAAAACTAGGGAGCAAGAATATTTCATTTAGAAGGGCAGACTTTATTTAAGCCCTGAAATAGGCAACATGAAAATGTGATATATTTGTTAATTTGATGCCATTTCTATAACACTGGAACAACTAATTTTCTGAATGGAGATGCAGATATTTAAACTTATTAGTACTATGGCATATTCAACAATCTAGGAGAAAACTGAAATGGTTTCAACTGTCATTTCCCCCATTTTTTTAAAAAATATTTTGTTCTTAAAATCTAATTCTTAAAAGAATTAAATCCTACAGAATCCTTCTTTTGGTAACTAGAAAATATATCAACATGGATTCATGAATCTATAAATACTTTTGAAGCAAGGGACTGTTGAACAGGGATTCATGAATCCATGAGCCAATCATGCAATATATGGAACTGGCTATATATAGTAGCATGCAAGAACACCACACTAGATATATAAATCTCTGACTAAAAGAATATTATTAATTTTCCTGCGCAGAAAAAAACTGCATAAAAATTCTAAGTATCTAGATGATAACAGTACGTACACATATATTCATGTTGGATTAATGCAGTTATTTATTCTGGAAGCTAATATAGCCTATATCCTTTCAGATAACTCCTGGGACATGATTGAATGCCATTTGGAATCAGATTTATTTGGTAATTA